GGTGGAGGGCAGGTGAGGAGGCAGGGTGATCGAAAGCATGGTCGAAGAGGAGGGTCTTGAGATGAAACTTGAAGGAGGCAAGGGAGGGGATGAGGTGGAGGGACTGCGGGATGGAGATCCAGAGGGTGGGGGCAGAGTGGCAGAAGACCCACCCACCAATAGTGCGTCAAGTGAAACGGGGGATGTGAAGCAGGCCAGAGCCCGCTGAGCAGAGGGAGCGAGCAGGATAGTAATGGGTTAAGAGGTTGCAGAGTGGGTCATGGCGCAGATGTGGGGTAGAAAGAATAGTTGAGGGTCAAACAAGACCCCAAGGTTGCGGACTGGCTTAGTAAGGTGGAGTGTGCAACCATGGATGGTGATGCTGTCAGTGCCTGAGGTGTGGAGGCGTTGACGGGAGCCAAACAGGAGAGCCTCGGTCTTGTTCACATTCAACTGAAGAAAGTTGGCTCTCATCCAGGACTTGATGTCTGACAGACATTCCGTCAGGACAGCAGTGGTCGTGGAGTCAAGGCTGGAGACAGAGAGGTACATTTGGGTGTCATCCAAATACATGTGGGAGTTGACCCCATATCTGTGGATGATGTCACCAAGAGGGAGCGTATAGATATTGAAGAGGAGGGGACCAAGGCCTGAGCTCTGAGGAACTCCGCACGAGACTGTGCGGGCGGTAGAGGAGAAACCGTTTGTGGAGATGAAGTGGAGGCAGTGTGAGAGGTATGATCTGAACCAGTAAAGGACACAGCCATGAAGGTTGAGGAGAGAGGAGAGTCGGTGGATGAGGATAGAGTGGTCGAAGGTGTCGAAGGCAGCAGAGAGGTCAAGGAGGATGAAGAAGCAGAGGGAGCCCTGGTCTTAGATGGACAGAATGTCATTTGTCATGTTAACCAGGGCTGTTTCTGTGCTGTGGGCAGCACGGAAGCCCAATTGGAGGGGCTCATGCAGGGAGTGACAGAAGAGAAAGGAAAGAAGCTAGAAAGCAACAACTTGTTCCAGTACCTTGGAGAGGAAAGGGAGGTTGGAGATAGGGTGGTAGTTTGAGAGTAGAGATGGGTCCAGGGAGTTTTTTTTTAAAGGATAGGAATGATGACGGCGGTTTTTAATGTGGGTGGAACACTACCAGTGGACAGGGAGAGGTTTATGATGTCTGTGAGTAGAGGGGCAAGGAGGTGGAGCTGGGAGGTAAGGAGAGGGGTAGGGATGGGGTCAAGGGAGCAGGAGATCGGTTGCATGTGGGTTATAGTGGTGGTGAGAAAGGAGTGGGAGACAGGTTCAAAGATGTGGAGGGAGGGATGGGTAGGTTTCGAATTCAAGATCCTCACCCTCACCTACAAGGCCATTCACGGCCTTGCTCCCTCCTACCTCTCCGACCTACTATCCCCCTACCTACCCGCCCGTACCCTCCGTTCCTCTGGCTCCGGTCTGCTCCACATCCCCAGCCCCAACCGCCCTACTATCGGTGGCCGGACCTTCAGCCTCTCAGCCCCTAGGCTCTGGAACTCTATCCCCCCAGTGCCTTCGCCGCCTTCTCCCTTTCCTCCTTCAAGGCCGGTCTCAAGACCTTTCTCTTTGACCGTGCCTTCAGCTCCCCTCTCGACTCTCTACCCCCTCCTCGCTCCCTCCCTTCCCTTCCCTCACCCTGACCATTTCCCCCCTGCTCGGGTCCTGACCCAACTGTACAGCGTCTTGGGACGTCCTCCCGACGTGAAAGGCGCTCAATAAATGGAATGTTGTTGTTGTTGTTGTTGTTGAGAGGGGGAGATGGGAAGAGTGTAGTAGACGGTAGGGCTGAGGCAGCTGAGCGAATCTCCTCGATTTTGGATTTGAGTAAGTCCAGCATCGTCTCGCAGTTGGCATTTGAGGTGAGGATGGGCGAGGCGTGAGAGGGAGGCGGAAGAGCCGGTTAGTGATGGAGAAAAGGAGCCTGGGGTTGTCCTTGGCCTCCAAGATTGTCTTGGAGTAGAACAACGATTTAGTGGAGGCCAGGGCGGAGCGATAAGATTTGATAAGGTCCAGCCAGATCTACCGATGGACCGTTAAAACCACTGGCTTGTGTGAAACTAAGCCGCTCTCACTTAAAAAGTGCCCACCACGTTTGATTTTTAGTCTGCTCTGAATTAGTCAATCTCAGCAACGGGCAGTAGGAGGGGTCCTACAATAATGTTAGCATCCCTAGGCTGGGTGGAGGGGTATAAAGAGATAGACAAAAGTCACTGGGCTCTCATTCTCGCCTACTTGTGGAGTCCTGTAGCTCAGTGGTTAGAGCACTCACCTCACAAGAGAGACCTGGGTTCAATTCCCGACAGGACAAAATGATGGGCAATTTTCCTTACTCCACACACCTTTGTTTACCTAGCAGTACATAGGAACCCAGTTGTTAGTTGATTGTTGAATCACTTTTCCTGGGGTAATAATTCCTTCAAAATATAATAATAATAAATTGTTCACTCAATCCATGACTGTTTGTGGGACACTGCTATGTGTAATTGGGTGCTACGTTTTGCCCACAAAATATACAGTCAATTCACTTTACAGTATTTTCTGCAAAGTACATTGAGACATCTTGAAGACGTGATAAGGCGCTTTATCAAATGCAAGGATTATTATTATTATTATTCCATTGATTCCTGCTAGAAAGTGCCAGTGTTGAGTGAGAACAGGATCATCCCTGGCTGTTATTACACTGTCACAACCCAGCCCACACCATGGCTAAACATGTAGTCAGCACTCACATGCGAAGATTGGTCACTTGAGCCAGGAGCTGCTGGATAGCAGCCAGAGGACATGGTAGTCATGAACCAGTATAAATTATGTTTTCAGGAGGAGAATTAGGGAGGGGAGAAAATTGGACTCGGAGGAGAGGTAACAAAAAAACTTTCGTTCTTTGCAAATTTCGCACACTTTAGAAGAAATATTGTGTTCTGTACCCTCACAGGACTGATCAATAGTTATCAATTCCAAAAGTAAAAGGCAGCAGGAGCAGTAAAAAAAAATCCAATATTCTGAATCATAAGGAAAAGCAACATTCCCAAGATTTCACCATTTGGTTTGAAAAGTCTTGCTTGTGTGAATTTTCTTCTAGGAGGACGATCAAAATGAGACTTTTCCTTTCACACACCAACACCCACCCACCCGCCCGCCCCACACAGTCCAATTTTCTCTCCTCCCCTCCTGAAGACATTAATTCACTGGAGCATGACTCATGTCTGCTGGCTGATATTTATTTATTGAAAATGTATTTTAATATAAAACAATCTGTGCCTGGCCTCCCCTTTATGACACCACTTCCACAAAACACCACCCACTTTAATTCATGAAGTAAGTTTAGAAAATGACAGCTACAAGCTGTATCTGTGGCTCAAAAACACTTCATTTTGCACAACATAAAATGGAGGGCATCCAGGGCTTGAGAGAAAAAGTCTCATAAATTATATACTTTCCCTTTTCTCCCAAAAGTGAACACGTGGAGGTGACCTGCAGCATGCTGTTCAAATTAGTGAGCTGCTCCAACTTCTATTTAAAAAAAACAATCCTGAACATTCACCACAGAAAAGACTATTTCAGTCCATCTGGCCAGTTCTAAAGTAACTTTTTAAAAAAAAAAATCTATACCAAACTCTTTCTCTCAAATTAATTATTTTGCCAAATCGGCATCTAATTCCCTCCTGAATTTGCTGACAGAGGCCAGCCTCCTGGGTCGTCTATTAAACATACTCCACACACTCAGCGGAAAATAATTGATGGCTTCTTCCCTCCTGTGATGAGTCTGTGTCCAGTGGTTCTTTTTTTTTTGACAAGGTTAAAAATGACGGTTTGGTTTATCTGCATCGCACGTCAGTTTGGCTCAGTTTGTGGTAAGTACTCTGTGCTTCTCAGCCAGAAGGTTGTAGAGTCATGCTCACATAATAGCTTTCAAAAGAAATTAAGACAAATATTTGAAAAGGAAATGTATAAACAGGGGATAAAAAACAGGGGAATGAATGGAACAAAATGAATAATTTTCACAGCATTAGCAGGGTCACATTGGGATGAATGACCTCCGATTTTGTTAAATTGTACGCTTCTAACGATGCTGATGCTCCAGGGCAATACTGGGGAGCAATGCATTGACAGAAATGCCTCATTTAGCTGTTCAGGCAAACACTAAAAATCTCCCATGACACTATTAGCCCAACAGAAAAAATGGTCATTTCACTGCATAGCTCCTAATGAGCACCTGCTAGTGCAAATAGCTGCCATGCTTGCCTACAAAAGTAGTCACCACACTTGACAATGTGAAACGCTGGAGATATTTCAACTTGATTTAAAAAAAAATAAGTTGTATCTTCTATCCTAGAACAAAATAAAAAAGCCATTCTTGGCTGGAATGCAGAATACCTACAGAGTAGGCTCACAGTTGTCTCACAACCCCTTGTCAATTTATTATTACAAGGGACTGGGCTTGAAAGTGGCATTAGTAAAATCTTCCCCTAAATGACTCATCTGACAAATACAGAGTTGGCTTTCACTATTAACTTAAGCAGATGGCTGATAGCACTTTATTCTGCAAACAATGTTTAGGGAGACACTGTGTGCAGTCCTAGGAATTTCTGATGTATTTGTTGAGAGATTGCATTAAAATGTTTGCATTGAACAAGTTGAAGGACAGCAGACATCACAGTGATAGTCGTGTACAACTTAGCAAATAAGCTACAGCTATTTACAGCTTTTACGGTTGTTACAAAACCCCAAAAAGATGGCCAGACGAAAAAGATAGGGTTGAAATGAAAGCAAAGGCTAAGCTGAGCCTCAAATAGGCAAACACTTTAATGTTTTGTTTAAAAAGGGCAAACCTTTTCTCACACATTTAATGGGGAGAGTTGCCAGGAACAATTGGCAACTTTAACCAGTCATGCATGAAACTTTGTCCTGAAAGCTTAGATAAACAGACATGTATCTCAGAAAGAAAATAGTATCACACATACACACACTATACGATAATACACAGCAACTGCTTTACTTACCAAGGACTATGGCAACGGTCTTCAGTAAGCTCATCATCGTGTCCCTGTTCCTGCGAGGTCCTGAACTGTGGCGAGACATCCGCATAGTCCTCTGGCGTACGTAGACGAAGATGTGCGCGTACAGGATCACCATGACCAAGAAGGTGACCAGGTTGAAAATGGCCCAAAATATCAAATAGGAGCTGCTGTAGAGAGGAGCCATGGTGGAGCAGCTGTTGATGTAGCAGATACAGTTCCAGCCCACACTGGGGATGGCCCCCATGACAATGGCCACGGTCCATATCACCACGATGACCACCACAACTCGCCGGTTGCTCATCCTCGTGTGCAACTGCATTCGGAAGACGGTTATGTGCCGCTCAATGGCGATAGCCAGCAGGTTGGCCACTGAGGCAGTGAGGCTGGTGTCTATCAGACCCTGGCGGAGCAGCCACGTGCTGACCGTCAGCCTGCGTGTGTTGGGCCCCGTGTTAAACATCAGGTAAAAATATGCCAAGCCCGCAAAGAAGTCAGCGGCCGCTAGGTTTGCCATCAGGTAATAAATAGGGAAGTGGAAGCGCCTGTTGACATAGATGGCGATCATCACTAGCAGGTTGGCGAGCATGATGAAGATGCAAACAGTGATGCCTAGTCCCATGACAAGCTTGCTGATTGGATTCCATTCCTTCGCCAGGGGCTTTCCACTGCGGTTGTAAAAAAAGGCGATGCTCTCGTTGAAGTAGCACTGCTGCTCGTCCATTTTCTAAGCCTAACAGTGACGGAAAGAAAATAAAGATCAATGCAATGGATCGGTGACCCTTTTGACTCAAAAGGAACAGCACGCGCAATTGCCGTGCACAGCTTCTCTCTCGCAGGAAGAAGGACTCAAATCACTTCACGGGGCAAGGGGAAATTAAGGGTGTTGACCAAACACATTGTCGAGCATATCATTATTAAAAGGGTTGTGAGACCAGGGAGAGAAGCAGCAGGTGGAGTGGTTTTGACAGAGTTCCAGAAAGCTGGAGTGGAGGAGGGATAGTTGCTAAAGGTTAAAAACTGGAACGTTGCCATTTTCTAAACAAATACAGTGTGGGTTTCAGAATCCCATCTCTCCCCTCCCCCCCCAACACACACACACACACACACACAGCTTTCAGTTTTCAAACTTTTGGAGTCAAACCAAGTTTTTTCTTGAAAAAAAGACACAGACTGTCTCTAAACTCTCATATATTAAAAGGAAAAATTTTATATGCAAGGTTTTTTTTACAAGATAAAAAAGGAACAAATTTCCAAGATACAACAACAAAGGCATTAAACTTCCGTATCTTCTTGTGGTATATTTAGAAAGGACCTTGGTCGTACTTTTGAGGAGTCAGAGCAGCTTCACATCCTTGAATAACCTGCACAGAAAACAGACTCAAAGCCATTTACACAGACTCTAAACCATCATTACACAGGCTGAACCACAGCACCACAGAATGTTTCCCGTTTTTAATAAGACTTAAAAACATAAGATCGAGTATATAATTGCATCCTTTACAAACCTGAAAATAATAATTCCTAAGTAATTTTGCAAAAAAAAAACAGTGTCCCTTAAGGATAACACTTAATAAATGAACCCAGAACGTCATTTATCAACAAGATGATGCCTGGAACAATACTACACAAGTTGCCAAGCACTTGGCTAACGTCTCCAACTTTATGTAATAAATACAAAGGCTTCTTCAGCTGGATTTCAGCATTATGCAATGGTCTACAGAGCAAAGTACACCGAAAACCACAACAATGAAGCGCCGTACACGGATTCCTTTACCTGTTACCACTCAAGACATTGTATTCCCTTAAACGCTTGTGGCAGAATGGAGAGTTCTGAAGTATATGTAAACTGTGGGAAACTAATGGCCCGCTACCCTAGAAACACTTCCTTCATTGTTATTGAACACAATAATGGGCATCTGTACTGGTTACGTAATCTCATTCAACCCACTGTGCCACCTCGTGAGAACAAACCATTTCATTCTAGATTTCCTAAAATGCAAGCATGCTTTGGTAGAGGGAAATGTATTCCCATGGTGTATACGCACACGCACACACAGCAATACTATGGTGTATATACACACACACACACAGCATTAGCTTGGTACACAAACTATTACATAACAATGTATGAATTCTCCAAAGAAAAAATATCCACACATTAACCAATTATTTTTCTTCTTCTTCTCTGGAAGCCGCTGACTTTCGATGGGTAGTTTTGTGTGCCAGCTCTAGTTTCTAGTACAAATCACCATGCTTTCTGAGCAATTAAAGATCGTTCATATTGGCTGTGGGACTGTAGGAGGCATCATAGCAGAGTCCGGTCCTATCTTTTGGTACATTGGTCACTCACTCCATGGCTGTTTGTGGGATATTGCTGTCCACACCTGACTGCCTTGTTTTGCCCATAAAAAACAGTCAATCCACTTTACAGTACATCCTGTTAAGCACTTTGAGACCTCTCAACGATGTGATAAGGCACTATATCAAATGCAAGGATTATTATTATTATCTTGCCATCACATTCACAGTTGGCCTTCAGCAAAGATACATGGAAAGCAATCCAAAACAGCAACCCTGCCTGATTTTCTCCTTCCTAGCCCAGAAGCACTAAAGCCAATTTTAGTCCCACCTGCTGCCCTAACTGAGGATCAACTAACTCAACAAACCCTTGGATTGAGCCTACAGTCTATTGGCTTCTATGTCTTAGTGCTACACCAGGTGGTTATTATTACCTTTAGTCATTGCCAATTTCTAATTCAAAATCAATCCCCAAATCGTGCAGCAATAGCCATGGTGTTTGCTTAATAAAAACAAGAGCAGATCTCGTGGTTTCTGTCAATGTTAGTCTAGGGCCTTGTTTATTCAGCAAACAGCAGTATTTTACAGTGTCATTAACCCAACAACTCTGACACAGGTACATCACACATGTGAGTACTAGAAACATATTAACAATGGAAATTTCAGTGGTAAACGAATGACATTCAATAAAACCTTTACAAGCAGAGTGTAAACTAAAGAACTCGTACAATTGCCCCCTTAGCATTTATTGTCCCGTTTATATTTCTCTAGTGCAAATCACCTTCTCAAGGTGGTGGTCTCCAGGACACTATTGGATGGAGGGGGAGAGAAGCCCAATTGATTTTGCAATCCTTTCTATAGATTATTGAGCACTCTGTGCAGCATGGATGAATTCCTGACCAGTAACCTAAGAAAGCAACCCACTCTCAGACAGAGAGGCTCCATCAATGCTCCTCTGCAAGTGACCACCAGTTAAATATACAACTGTACTCTACAATAATGGCTAACCGTCAAGGTTTTTCTTTCTGTGGAAGTTCTAGCCTCTTCAGAGTGAAAAGGAGTGAATGTCGAGGCAGTAAATTATTAGTTCCATTCTAATTCACATGATTCATGCTCAGATTCCAAGCAAATCACCTTCACAAATTTTTGCGGAGGTCAGAATGCAGCACAGGAACTATTAAACTATGGTACTGCACCCCTTGCATTCAGAGAACTGATGATAAATTGGAATCTTACTCTTTGAGTTCAGGACAAACCTATTCCTTAAATCCTCGTATAACGCAGCCAGTGCTGAAAATGTTAAACCAGTAAGATTCCTGAAGGTTTATGAAAATATTGCAACCTGAAAATGAGCCACCAGGAATTGCATACTGTACACTTAAAAAATTTCCAAAATATTGAAGTTCAACACCAACAAAAGTGTAGTGTGACCAGTGTACAATGTATACAGAACAGTGATTACTGTGTTGAGATTGATGTCAGTTAGCAACATAAAGTCAGCTTGGAGACTACAGTTCAGAATGTCAATCATCACTCCAAATCGGCAACATTGGAGTCCTGTAGCTCAGTGGTTAGAGCACTTGCCTCGAAAGTGAGAGACCTGGGTTCGATTGCTGGCAGGGCGAAAACTTCGGCAAGTTTCTTTACTCCACACGCCTGATAATAATCTCTTAAGAAAAAACCCAATAATAAATTGGTCACTTCAATCCACGACTGGGACACTGCTGTGCGCAATTGGCTGCCGCGTTTCGTCCACAAATATACAGTCAATTCACTTTACAGTATATTCTGGCAGGGTGAAACCTTGGGCCAGTTTCCTTACTCCACACGCCGAATAATAATGCCTCCAAAAAAGCAAAACAATAATAAATTGGTCATTTTCAATCCACAACTGTTTGTGGGACACTGCTGTGCATAATTGGCTCACCCACAAATATACAGTCAATTCACTTTACAGCATAATCTGTGAAGCGCTTTGAGACATCTAGAAGACGTGAAAAGCTCAATATGAAATGCAAGGATTATTATTATTGCCATCACTAAGTCACACAGAAGAGGTGACAGGAGTGCTGTGTGAGCTCCAGTACACTGGCTGAAGTTGCTCCAGAATTCAATTCATTTTATGAAGTGTATTAAGACCATCTGGGACTTACCTATCTAACCATGCAGACTCAGGCTTGCAGATAAAAGACAATGTGTGTGTGGCCCAATTACATCTACTCCACACAAACGTTGGACCACCACTGCTCATGCACACATGAAGTTTCCTAATGATTCTCCAAGTAGAAACCATTTCATATGAATTGCCCACATCTTTCAGCCCTTCAGCTTTCACTATAAAATAGCTGGCCATCCAAATACAATGCAGAATGATTTGCAATATTTCCAGAGGACGTAGAAGGAATTAATTTCTGCCTTCTACCACATTCCGATATTCAGAGAAAGCCTGGGAAGCATTGATTGGAACCTCTGAAACTCAATTGTGTCTGGAGAGCAAAATGCCACCTCCCCATGGCCATTGGTATTGCTCCCGTCTTTGTTCTGCACTTTTAGCTTCTGGAAACCAGACCCTATCTGAAATTTTCAGGCTGACTGTGGAGACTAATTTAGCACTTCCCCTTTTGGGAATATCGCAAACTAGACCAGTGGAGTATATTGAAATTTTCCCTTTGAAAGAAAGCTCCTCGCTGGAGCTAACAAGAAACAGCAGTTTTGTCATTATTATAACCGCAGCAAAGCGCAAGGCCAGATCTACTTCGCAACAACGGGAGAAAGAATTATGGTTCCACCAACTGTGTAGATTCTTCATGGCAACAATATATCATTTATATAAATACTGTATATTTTACATTTCACTCGCAAATATGTAAAGCCAATTCACTTAACAGTAAAAACAGTAAAAACGTAAAAACAGTAAAAACTCTATGAAGCCTTTTGAGATGTCTTGACGACATAAGGCGCAATATCAAATGCAAGGATTATTATTATTATATCAAAATAGCAGGATATGCATTCCTTTAACCCACCCACAGCACTACAGCAGTTACACTGTTGCCGTTAATAAGGCTCTCCAAATATTACAGTATAGTGGCTTGACAATGTAGTTTCTACTCTTAAGAATGAAGGGCTCTTGTTGGACGATCAGTTTCAACTCGGTAACTGATGGTATCTCTAGATTTATGATGCTTGCCCGACTAAAAATAAATCCAGGAATCAGGAACCCACTGTTAAGACCATGACAGCTTCTGTGAAATGGGAAAAATTTATTGGAGCTGCATTCATCTAATTCAATGATAAAAATACATTGATGCCCATCAGATGGATGGATTTCTGCCAGAATCTGGATTAGATTTTTTTTTGTAAATAAGAGTACAATTTGTCCCAATTTTACAATGTTATGGGATTTTAAACCATGTGTTTCATTCTAAATGT